ATATATATATAGAAGGAGGTCACAATTAATCATTATCCATTATATTTGAAATCTGGTGGTTGAGGATGTCATTGTAGGCACAAAGTCTAAAAAATATTTTTCGAATGTTGTGGCACGCTTTCATATCTTGGATTTCACATCCAATGGTTAAAAGTGATTGTCACCTCCTTATACCAAAAATAAATGATCTCGTAGTATACAATCCCATATATATATATATATATATATATATATATTTAATGAAATTGTTTCATAGTAATATGATGTAACCTCCGCAAACACTTATATGATGTGCTACTTACCAGTAGTGAAGGTGGTAGCGTCTGTTTGTTTTAGATAAATGTTGGAGTCAGAGTGGTGTTCTTGGACTCTAGAAAGTGATGTGAAGTTCATGATTGTTGTTCAAGAAGGCAGCCTCCTGTATTGTTCATGATGCAGTTGATACAGATGCAGTTGATACAGATGATTATGGGGTTCCACATATGTAAAATTTATTGTATTGATGCAATTGCATCTAATATGTAAATATACTAATAGTGTTTATTTCGAAACTATTCACATGCTCTTAGTGTCACAGCTGCCACTAAAAGCACCGGACTGGTGTTTTGTATAATTGGGAAGAACATTTCTTTATTATTGCTCTGCCCATGAAATCATTGACAAGCCACACATTTTTCATCTCTATCATGGACCATTGTTCCAGAGATATCTGTACTTCTGCATTTGCCATCATGTAACTTTTGAGATGTGGTTTCAAATAGATCCTCGTATCTTGGACTTACTAAAAGGTGGATTGAAGGACCATGAGTTTAAGACTAACCGGTTAGCACTCGGGTGTTTAATACCAAAGCCAAGGTACAGTATTGATAGCAAAACATTTCACTCTTTCTTATCTTCAGAGCTTATCCTTGGGATCGGCTACTCGAATCTTGTTTTTATTAGTATGTTCTATTAAGATCCACACCTTCAGTAAGATGATAAGCCTTCATATCTTTTCACATTACTTCTATTAAGTTTGCAAGGGGCCGGCCTAGGCGGAGTTAAAACATTTCAATCTTTCTATGGACCTAAAATTCTGACCAGATGGATTAGTTTTTATCTTTTGAAAATTAGTGCCATTTTTAATGGATGAAATCTAGCTAAAATTCTATATTTTTCTCCTGTTTGTTTTTTGTTAATAAGAAGAGTGAAATACCAGGCTGGTTCATATCTAAGGGAGTTTCTTTTTTAGACAAATGTTATGAATTTATATTAAAGCAATGCTTCAAGAGCATGAGTTTACAAAGATTGGATCAAATCATTAGAAACTTGTAAAAAGGGAAGAGAAATACCATGTTTAGCTAGCCCATCAGCGACATCATTGGCTTCACGTATGGTGTGGCCGAAGCTTATCCTCAAATGAGGCCAGGCACATTGGTGTTGAATTTTTAACAAAAGAGTAAATGGGGACCAGGGGGTCCTTTGCTCTTTTCTACACCACTTGATAGCATTCAGAGAATCCCATTTAATTATAATATCACCAATGAAACCCCTGTCGATGATAATATGAAGGCCTTGAAGGAGAGCAGCCAATTTGACATGATTGGCTGTTGTAGACCCACAAGGACTCGAATAAAAAAACAAGAACCAATCCCAAATTGTTGCGAAGAAGCCCACCAATACCTGTGAGCTTTGGATTTTCAAATGAGCTGCCATCAAAATTAAGTTTGAGGCAAGTTTCTAGAGGTGCAATCCAAGTTCGAAGGGGACGACTAGAATGAGAAGAGGAATGCGCCAAAAATTTCAGATTCATATAAAATCAGTCCGAAGAGCACCCCGTCCTTCAAACGTAGAGGAAAACCAATTCCAAGAGATTGTAAAATGAGATCTTTTACCTTTTCAATAATCTGAGATACCCCATCGAAGGTTCTCCTATTATGTTCTAACCAAATATGCCATAAGATTGCACTTATGAAAATTTTCCAAATCACAACTCTTTTTTTTGGTAATCCAATGATAGAAATATGGTTAATAATGTTGATGGGATTTAAAAGTATCATGAGGAAAAAACCTAATAAGGAGAAGGCCTAGATCCATAAGCTCGAGGCAAAAGGACAGTAAAGGAAAATGTGAGAGCAAGATTCTCCATCATTTTTACACATCAAGTAAATGTTTGCAAGAATTTTACAACTCTTTTGTAGATTGTCTACTGTTAAACATTTCCTTTAACATGCGACCTATAGGAAGGCTTGGATTTTAACGGGAACTGATCATTTCCAAATAGAACCCAAAGATGTATCAACAATACGGATCCGATCCATAAAAAAGAGCCTATACATTGATTTGACAGAAAAAACTCCATTAGTTTCTGATTCCCATATGACCAAATATTCGGTATTAGAAGAGATATAAACTTGTTCAAGCTGTTGGAAGAGATTATGAAGCTACGAAATAACCATGTCCAGTAGCCTATTATAGCGGCATTCAATGTTCCAGACCATACGACTAGAGAGGGAAACAGAAATCAACTCTGAAAGTTTTACATTAAGTTGAGCAACTCTGGCAAAAAGGTCAAGATAAGTAGAAGAGAGATGCGCATCTATTTGTTGAACCAAAATAGAGTGTTATCTCTATTGCCAATAAGCCATCTGATGCTGCTGAAAACAATATTTATGTAGCTATAAATTGATTTTAGAGCCATCATGGAGATTTTTTATGCCTAGAGTGTTTTTTGAACGAGGATTTGAAATGAAGTTTTACTTTGTTTTTATGAAGCCTAATCCTCATTGAAACTACATCTGCAAAAAAAAAAAATTAAAACTAACAATTTTTTTTTTGAAATCTTGAAAATATGGTTGTATACATAGTATCACCTCAAATGACCGATGCGCTTCCCACAAAGTTCATCCGGCCGCTGCTTGGGTCGGCTAGCCCCAATCCTAAAAACCGAAAGCTTTCTTTATTTGTATGTTATTTTTTATTGTAGGCCACGGAGGGTCCTCTTTTTCTTTATTTTTATTTTATTTTTTCCCTAGTCGAGCCTTGATAGGGATAAGGCCGGGATGGCCTGGAACATCGGCGGCCATTGGGCGGTTTATTTTTATTTTATTTTTTATTTTATTTGGCCTAGGTGAAGAGGGATAGGGCCGGGATGGCCTGAAACATCGCAGCCATGGGCCGGTCTGAGTAATCCTATTGGTTATGGGTAATTGATCCGTCCAGGTTAAAAAGAATTAATTTTTTAAAAAGAATTTCAAAATTTTTTTAAAAAATGAAAGTATGTTTAAAGTATAATTATACAAAATACATTCATATGAGACTAAAAAGGTAGTAAGAAAATAGATTTTGAAAAATCAATTTGTGCTAAGGGTATTTTAGAAATAATACAAAAAAGAGAAAAAAATATAAAAATAAGTATTTGTGGCCAAAATATATCCTATTCTTTTCCAAATCAATAGAAAATATTAAAAAATATATAATACAAACAAATTAATGAAAATGGGGATTTTGAAAAATAAATTTGTGCCCAAAGGTATTTTAGAAATAGTAGAAAAACTAAGGACAAATATAAAAATAAGTATTTATGGCCAAAATACTTTCCAATCTTTTCCAAAACTATAGAAAATATTTTTAAAAATAATACAAAACAAATATGAAAAAAAAAGGGATTTTGAAAAATCAATTTGTGCCCAAGGATATTATAGAAATAATATAAAAAAAGGAGGAAAAATATAAAAATAAGTATTTATGGCCAAAATAGATTCCAATATTTTTCAAAACAATAGAAAATTTTAAAAAAATCTAAACAAACAAATTTGTTAAAAAATAGATTTTTAAAATCAGTTTGTGCCCAAGAGTGTTTTAAAAATAATATAAAAAAGGAGAAAAAAATATTAAAATCAGTATTTACGGCCAAAATACTTTCCAATCTTTTCCAAAACAATAGAAAACATTAAAAACAAAAATCTTATACAGCCAAATTTGTAACAAAAGGGATTTTGAAAAATCTGTTTGTGCTCAAGGGCATTTTAGAAATAATATTAAAAAATGAGAAAAAAAATATAAAAATAAGTATTTATGGCCAAAATAATTTTCAATCTTTTCCAAAATAATAGAAAACATAAAAAAAATCTAATACAAACAAAGTTGTAAAAAAAGGATTATGAAAAATCAAATTTTGCCTAAGGGTATTTTAGAAATATATAAAAAAAGAGGAAAAATATAAAAATAAGTATTTGTGGCTAAAATAATTTCCAATATTTTCCAAAACAATAGAAAACGAAAAAGAAAATATAATACATACAATTTTGTGAAAATATAGATTTTGAAACATGAATTTGTGCCCAAGAGTATTTTAGAAATAATGTAAAAATAAGGCCAAAATATAAATATTAGTATTTATGGCCAAAATACTTTCCGATCTTGTCCAAAACAATAGAAAACTTTAAAAAGAATCAAATACAAACAAATTTGTGAAAAAATAAATTTTAAAAAAATCAATTTATGTTCAAGGGTTTTTTAAAAATAATATAA